AAAAAAAAAAAAAAATAAAAAAAAAAAAAAAAAATAAACCGTACGGAATCGCCGATTCACTGTTCGGACTCGCCGATTCCGTACAGTGAATCGGCGATTCACTATACAGAATCGTCCGGTTCTCTCTAGAACCGGACGATTTCCGATTTTTTGGGCGATCCGGTCCCTTTTCACTATTTCCGAGTCGAACCGGGCGAGTCCGGATCGACTCGGCGTTTTTTAAAACGCTGCTCTAAACAATCAAAGTGGAGCCTGCAACAAAAATTTCAAGAGGTTATTTTGATGCTCAAATATTATCGAGTTTTGGACATAGTGTATTTTGTAATATATTTTTTTAATTTTCAAGATTTTCAAGTTTTGATAGATATATCGATCTGCATTATTTTTAAGCTTTAAACTTTATAAATAAATATAAAAATATATTTTAAGGCTATCACAAAGATTTTCAATATTGAAACCACATTTTTCGACTGTATTTGAAGGTAGGCTCTAATTTGATTGTTCAGGGCCTAGGTTTTATATAAACCCCACTTGAAGATGAATAGAAATGGATTTCAAGTTTTAAAAATAGTGCATATTGCAATACATTTTTTTGCTATCAGTTTTCAAGATTTTCAAATTTTTCTATAGAAAAATTATTTCAAGCAGGCTAGACCGCATTTCTACATATGTTGCCCAAAAAATGTAAAGCATCCTAGGTGTTCCATCTAAAAATAATATAAATTAACGATCCACATGTTTTCTTATTAGAATTATTATTTTTAGTTTTTTAAATTTATTTATTTATTCATACTCATGATCTCCATGATAGAGATTACGTATCTTTAAAAATTAAGTCTTAAAATCTATCTCAAAAATAGATTTATTAAGAAGCCTGCATTTCTATCTATGCACGCTTGACTGCATAGAAAGCAGGTCTTTTCATATATTGCTCGATCTACACTATTTTTTAAGCTTTAAATAGAGATGAAAATATATTTTAATATCACAAATATTTCCAATATTGAAACCACATTTCTCGAAACTATTTGAAGGTGTGTTTTACTTTGATTGTTTAGAGCATCAGCTTTAATAAACCGCATCCTCTCTTTTTTTTTGACAAATATTATCTCATTTATTGATAAAAGGTTACAAGAGAAATTTCAAACAGAAAGAGAGGGCCCGATAATCTGTCAAAGTATTTGCCTCTCTATAAATATAGATGAAAGAGACCCACAAGAGTACTACCAAATCTCATTCATCAAATCTCCTTCAATCACACATCAATTACCAAGGTTTCCATTAATAAAAATCTTCAAACCTTGTAACAAGGCTAGGAATAGGTGAAAATAACATCACCAAAACAATTTTGCACGACTCCACCAATTCCATCCACCCCTGGATTCCCCAAAGAATTGTCGTCGAAGTTCAATTTGAAGCTACCTTGACAAGGTGCCAACCAAATACTATGCGGCCTAGCCTTGACAACCCCCATGGTGAAGAGATTTTGCAAGCTAATCGTCATATCTGGTTGTGTGATACCCCATCCCTCTTTTGTAACCGATAGCCAAAACCAAATGGAATGCTTGATTATAGTGATAAATCTATCAAAAGGTAAACATACCCCTTCAAACATCATTTTATTTCTCTCTTTTAAAATTTCCCAATTCCTCTAGCTAGCTTCTAGGCCACATTCGCAGTCTTTGGTGAATGGGGTAAAACTAATTGTACGACAACCCCGAACACAGTTTGAAGAAGAGACACATTAACTCCTAAAATACCAAACAACAATAACCAAATCCTTGTGGCAAAATAGCAATTAATGAAAAATAAGTACAAGACTCCCCATCTACCTTACACATAAGACGTATATTGAGTAATTTTTTTCTTCTTTTAATCAAATTATCTACAGTCAGAACTTTATCCAGTGCAACCAACCACATTTATTTATCCAGTCGAATAGATATATTATTGTACATGTTTAGTCCCATAGATACATTATTGTAATATATATGTTTAGTCCCTTACAATAGTTATATTATAGTACGATTATCCTAGAATGTCCCAACTTCATTAGATTTATTCTCTATCCACATCTCTTACGACCATTTCTCAAATATTTCACAAATCTCTCCAAGCCTGTAGATTTTTTCGACCACAACTCTTCTCTTCTTTTTTCAGATACATAAAGTTTACCTCTCTAACCTTCCTTTTAGGTTTTATTTCTCAACCGACCCAAAGTTTCAAAACATATATACTTAGGTTTCAATTCTAAATAGACTAAGGTTTCAAAACCTATCGGGCACCATAGTGATGCCATGTATTATATCTTCTAACTCCTTACCAAATTTTCCCTTTTGACTCATCTTTTTAACCCAAGCAAAAGTTCAAAAGACATCATTTTTCCCCTTCTCTATCATCTCATGTTTCTCCCTAAATCTCTATCTTTTTTTGGGTTTAGAAAATAATAGAAAAAATGATCTTTTGAACTTTGTTTGGGCTAAAAAAATATAAAAGAGATAAAGTTAGTCCATGGGGTTAGAAGATATAATATATGGGATAATCTATATCGTCACTAGCCTTTACATCTATATCGTCTCTAGGGTGGCAATGGCCGATTGACCTAACCCTAAAAAGCTAGGGCCTGGGCCACAAAAAGTGGTATGGGGACTTGGCCAAGGCCGGGCTACCATGGACTGCTGGAAAGAAGACTCAAGGCTAGAACAGTGCCAACCTGATGGGGACAGGGTCGGGCTAGGGCCAGAATTGAGCCAACCAATTCTCAGCCCTAATCGCCTCTTTACAAATAAGGAAACTCTCCTTTCTCACTAAATTCCTAACAATCGAAATAGCCTTGTATATCTTTTTTTCTCCTTACAAAGTTGAGGACTCTCTCCGTATAATAAGGTTTTTTTTAGATGTATCGGTCCTATCGGATATATATAAAACTATAGATTGTTTGATTTCTTAAATTATTAAGTTTAAGTAAAATAAAATGGGTGAAGTTTATACATGGTGTCAATCCTATACTATTGAAGTAGGGCCCATCACAAGAATATATTGAAGAACGCATCTTTGGTGCCGGAAAGCCTGTTAATAGTATGAAAATCTATTGTCACACCAAATTATGAAATTTAAAGCTTAAAAAATGATGCAGGTCAAGTAGATCTATAAACAATTTAATACTTTGAAAAATAGATGGTCTAGATAACGCATTATGAGATGCATTATTTTCACAACCTGATATTTTATTTTATTTTTAGGTATCCACACATATTGAGATTGAGATGATCAATTTAAGGGTTTTTCAACATTTGAACAACCTTTTTCAATGGGTCCTTGAGGTGCGTCTTGCTTCAATAATATAAAATTGACACCTTACATAAATTTTTCCAAAGGAGGTGCTCACATTGAGACAGGACTTGGACCATTGGAAAGCTTATTCAATTCCCTAAATAATACAAGTTTTAGATGTATTTGTTAAAGTACCTAGAGTAAGTTCCAATTAAGTTTTAGGCTTTTTAAAGGCATTTTGATAATTTAGGTACCCTAGGTCTATAGGGCAGCTACTATGGTATCTAGGGAGTCTGCATGTGATCTTAAGATAAAAAATTTATGATAGGAAGTAAGAAATATCAACTCTAGGTATCTACAAGTTTAGATTCTTAGACTTCTAGTTTCCCAGGTTTAACCAAACAAAGAAAAAAGAAACCAATAGAAACTCTAGATAGGTTACAAACAAATATTCCCAATTTCAAGAATTCCCAACTTCCTACAATATTTCCAAATTCCAGAGATCAAACGTTCCCTCAAATTAACTAAAATATCTTCAAGAACATGGATGTCAAACGGCAAAGCGATGGTTAGGGCTGCCACCAGGCCATGCCTAGATTGCTATGGTTAGAGCCCAACCTAGACCAAAAGCAAATCGGGCTTTTCTTGCCCAGCCCGATCCAATCGGCCTGAAAACAAAATATCTTTGAGAACATGGACTCCC